ATTCTATATGCCGAAAAAAAATGAGGAAGAAGAAGAAGAAACATTTGGAAAACTAATTTTGAATCTCCATATTGTCATTGTATCATGGTCAGTTTTTTTTTGGTTACAAATGATAATAAGCAATACGTATTTGAAATGCCGACAAAGAATCGACAATGGAGGTAAAATGAAGTGAAGCATACGATTCTTATATATATACAGAGATCTCATTATTATCTGCTTGTTATGATATCCAATATTTTGTTCTACAGATTCTGATTTCAATTCAAATTCCAAGAGAATTGTCATTATTTGTTGTTGTTTGAAAATCCCAACAATTCTCGACAACTTGTTCATCTTGTACTTTTTTTTTTTGAACGTTTATGATTTTTTTCATGTTTGATATCGAAATCAATTTTTTTTTTTTTTCGTATGTACAAAAGTGTCAACTGAAAATTGTGATAAAAACATTTTTAGTAATCAATTTCATTTTTTGTTATCCATTGTTTTTCTTGAAATTTTTTTTCAAATGTTTTAAGTGGAAATTTTCAATTTTAAAAACACACACACACACACACAATTGAACAGAGAGAATCTCGTCCACTGGAATTGTGAAGGAGAAAATTCATTTTCAACTTTTCGATTAACGTGCCCAGTGGTCTCAGTCTGTTCTATTGAAAAGAAAGATATCGATTTGGATTTATTTAATTTTCTGAATGGTTTATCGTCAATCAAAGTATGTTACGTTGGGTGAATCGTTTCCGTGGTTGGCTTCCTAAATCCCGACAAGAACAGATGTTAAATTCTTTGTACGTTCTTATTCGTTGTTTCCAATCAAATTCTCGTCCTAATAGTCCGCATGAATGGTACGTCGATGATCGAGGTTTTGTTCGTTTTCCGTTCAAGAGATGGCTTAAATTCTATTTGGATTCCTCCTCGGACGGCTTTGGCTCGAGCGCTTTTATACGATGCTCATCGCCGGGCGAAACATAATGGAGTAAAATTGTCATTAGCTCAAATTCCGGCTGAGTTTGCAATTGGAGATGCTAACCGTTCAATGGCTCGTCTGATTTATAATTGTATCATTTGTCGTAGTCGTCGTGGTAAAGCTTTTTCCGTTCCGTTTGGTCCTACATATCATGACGTAGATATTTATCAAGGTCCTTTTAGTCGTATTGCGATCGATGGCTTTGGTCCATTCACGTTACGAAACAGTAAAAAATATTGGGGTCTAATTGTTGCATGTTTATCTACTCGCTGCCTTCGGATCGGTATTCTCGAAGATTTGACGCCGATTGCAGCTGCACGTGCTTTGAAATCAGTATTCCATGAGGTTGGATATCCGAAATTTATTTTATCGGATAATGGCACGAACTTCAAACATATTAAATTGGCTCTTGAAAAAGCTGAGATGTCTGTTGTCTGGTGGACATCGGCTCCGCTAGCTCCATGGCAAAACGGTACAGCAGAGCGTTTCGTTCAAATGGTGAAAAGTTGTTTGTCCGTTTATGATAAGAATTGTCGCTCTTTATATGACGTGGTACTTCGTTTCCGGGAAGTAGAATCGATTATTAATGCTCGACCGATTATTTCTAATGAACGTCCCATTTCGGCGCACGAATTTTGTTTTCATCGGCCTCTACGTTTTGATTACCGAAAAGTTACTAATGATTTTAAACCTATCGATTTGAACCGTTTGTATCGCCTTTAACGAAGATCTCCGTAAACGTTTTACCAAACTTCTTAAGCTTCGTTATTTCAACTTGTATCGCTTTCGTCCCAAAAATTTTCTCTGGCTCAGTCAACGTGGGTCGTATGTACAAAAGTGTCAACTGAAAATTGTGATAAAACATTTTTAGTAATCAATTTCATCTTTTGTTATCCATTGCTTTTTCTTGTTTTTTTTTTTCAAATGTTTTAAGTGGAAATTTTCAATTTTCATCAAAGTTTGTTCTGTTTTCTTTTCAACGAACACACACACACACACAATTGAACAGAGAGAATCTCGTCCACTGGAATTGTGAAGGAGAAAATTCATTTTCAACTTTTCGATTAGTTTTTTTTTCTTGCTGGTTCATCTTTTGAGTTTGATTCAACTTTTTTTTTTTTTTTAAAAAGCTCACTTATGATGGCACAAGTGATAGAGATAGATATAGAGAGAGAGAGGTAATAGTTTGATGATTCAACTTTTTTTTTTTTAAAAAAAAAAAAATGGATTGAAAATGTTTGATGAAAAAAAAAAATTTGAAAATGGATTCTTTGATGTCCAAAAAAAAATGAAAAAAATCGAGTAAACTTGCCAATTTTCACACTTGGACTGAATATATATGTATACAAGTTTGAGCCTTTGACCAATTGATCATGCGTAATAATTTGAAAAATTTATGTTTTGGAAAAACATAAATTTTTTTCTTCTATTTCTGGTTAATACAAAACAAAACAAAACTCAAATTTTGACAATATGGATCCAGTTTATGTCAGTTTTTTTGTTTTGTTCCAAATTACATCAACATTAATAATTCGGATTAGAATAGTAGTGGGTAGAATGTTTTGTTTTTTTCACCATACACACACACATTCAAAATCGCATTTACATTGGTCAATTGCATTTATGCTTTCCTTTCGGTCATTTTGGCATCATTTGCAATGATAATATTCTTTGGTCATTGAAATTTACACTTGAATCGTTTTGAATTCTACAATTAAATTCTTAACAATTATTTTATTTTTGGCCAAATCGGCATCATGGATTCGATTCTGGACAAAGAAAAAAAAACAATACGAAGTTAATTTAAAACAACAATAAACGAGATTTATTTTCATTTATTTGATGGAAAAAAATATTTAATTAAATTTTATGGAATTTTACTCCACTGCCAAGTCCATATTTTATTTTGACCAGAATTCAATTGAAAAAAAGGAGAAAAATTTCAATATTTCGAAAATAAATCGTGCCGAATGGTAAATATTCAAGACAATAAGAATGATGTTCAGAAAAAAACTGAAATTCTTCAATATTTCAAGAATCCATTTAGCAAGAATTGTTACATTGCGTTTCATATACAGTTTTAAAACAACAACAATGACAAAAAAAAGCAGAGCCAAAATGAGTTGCAGAAAAAAATGATTCAAATCAAATCAAATGGAATGGGTTTTTTTTCGATTTCTTATTCTTCTTTTTTTCATTTCAAAATGGAATCGATCCAAAAATCATGATCATATATTTATTAAGAAAATAAGAATAATAAATTTGATGAAAAATGATGATGGAAAACAACCATGATGAACAATTCAACATTTCAATGATGAATGAAGATAATTCCCTGAAGAAGAGAAAAAAAATGTCGATATTCTTCGATTTGATTTCCATTTTTTAGTTTGAGTCCCAAGTTAGGCATGATGCCATCATCATCATCATCATCATCATGACTTGTTGGATCAGTTTTCTTTTCTTTTCTTTTATTTGGATCCAAAAAAATGAACATTTTTCATATGTGATGGGTGTTTTTGCAATCATGATCATGAAAATATGAATTTATATCCACATTTCTAACGTTTTTCGACATTAGTTTCAGCTGAAAAAAACCAATGACTTAGTTTGATAATGTAATAAATAATTCTACCGAAAATCGAAATGAATCGTGCCATGGATAACAAACAAACAAATAAGCAAACAGACAAACAAACAAACAAACAAACAAACGGGAAAATCATTCTGTTTTTCTACGAAACAAACTTCGCATCTAGAATTCCAAAAAACAACGATATACCACTATTAAGTTAATTTTGTTCAAAAAAAGAATTCTTACTGAATTCAAAAGAAAATCAAGAGAAAAAAAATGAAAATAACAATAACAATGACAGATTAGATTAAAGCACAATCGACAGAAGAATAGAATAGAATAGAATAACCGAATCCCCATATGGATCCGGTTCGTATATCGGATTTTTTTCCCATTCTGGATCTCGGTCCTCTGTTCAAATGAAAAAAAAAAAAAAATAAAACGTAATTGACATCTGACTGACTGGTGTCTTGGTGTCAGCATCATACATTCTGATCTCTCTCTCTCTCATTCTTTTTCTTGACGCCCATTTCTATCGTCCAAAATCGAATCGAATAAACTGAAAGAGAATACAAAAAAAAAAATAAATTCCAAAACCTACTATCATCCTGAAATGAAGGAGACAACAACAACAACAAAAAAACAAAATTGAAAAAGTCAAACATCATTCCTGAATGAAATTTCAAAATTCTTCTGCTAATATTTATGTGTGAGTGTGTGTATTCTACCATTTTTTTTTTTTGGTTGTGAATCATCGATTTTATCAATAATTTTTTCATTGCAAAAAAAATATAATGAAAAACAAAATTTGAACATTCGAATCACGAAATGCCACCACGAGAGAGTGAATAAAAAAAAATGGTTATTGAAAGATTGACTAAAATGGAAATAGGAGAACGAGAGAGAAAGAGACAGAAAAAAAATATTTGATAAATGAATCCAGCTAAATTAAAAAAAAGAAGAAAATAACAATGACAATCATTTGATGATGATGATGAGCTTTAAAAATTTGACAACAAATCGTACAAAAAATCATTGGAATTGTAGGAATTCTGGCTATTATGACTGCTGATGCCTTTAATCGAATATCGTCATTTCATCATTTTTGGATGAATGATGAGCTCAACGATGATGATGATGATGGTCAACGACATTACATTCGATTCTATCTTCCCGGATCAGATGATGATGATGATGTTGTTGGAGAGAGAGTGAAAAAAACTGAATTTTAAATTTTTATTTTGTTCAATGAAATTCGGGATTCTGCGTTTTTATAGATTTCGATGATGAAAACCAGAGATGATGATGCTGATGATTATTATTTCATATTTCATATACACATCTGGATATTTCATTCAATTAATATTTGTTCTGTGTGTGTGTGTGTGCGTGTTTATATATTCTGCCATAAAACAATTCTTCAAATATATAAATGTTGTTGTTGATTTTGTTTTATTATTATTATTGTTTTCATCATCATCATCTTCTCGTTATGGTTTTTGTTGTTGTTGTTGTTTTTTTTCATAATATAAAATACACAGACAGACACTTGATCGTATAGAGAAAAAAAAATTATGAATTATATAATGGCACATGATATATATATGTATGGACTGAGTGAATGAGTGAGTGAAGAAAAAAAATCCAATATATCTTGAAAATTGACAGCTTGGATCAAACTAACACACACACACACACACACACACACACACACACACTATATGTTGTCGTTATTAGTGTGTATGTACGTTCGAAACCTGAATTTGAAAATGAAATATAATATTGACGATATACGATGATGATGATGATGATGACGTTGACGTTGATGATGATGGCTATATGGTGACATTGGTTGTTGTAGTTGTTGTTCCAAAACGACCATCTGGGTTCCACAATCAAGTCAAGTCAATATATCAGCACATAGTCATCATTTTTTTTTATCACGGATACGATCAAAGCCAAAACCGATCTGATATAAATATTATCTGGGTTTTTTGTTTTGTTTTTTAATTTTAAAAAAAAAAACAACACAAGAATTTTTCCGAGAATATTAAACATCATAGTATAATGATGGTAGTAGGTAGAGTAGAAGAAAAATTCATATTCAATACATATGCTATACGAATGAGAAATGGGAAAATCAAATTAAAAATTAATAACGATAAAAGCTTCATAACATACCGTTGATAATAAATATTTTGGATAACCGTATCCGGTCTCTTCCATCATCATCATCATCACCATCAATATCTGAATGATAAGCACGGTAATTCTTTTGCACAGCAGGATATTAAACCACAACAAAATCAATGGAAAGATCTAAATCCCATCACTAACCAAACTAATGAAATGAAATCGAAAAAATTTTTTCTTCTTCTTCACTCACATTTTGTTGAACCATTTGAATCGAATATTGGTTTGTGATGAAGATGAGAATTTTATGGATGGAATTGGTGGTGAAAAAAAAATTCCATAATTCTTTTTAAATGTTTGCGTTGATTTTTTTTATATTCCAAATGATGGTCAATACTCAGGAATATTCAGGATCAATATTGGAAAAAAATATATAAATCTATGGCGAAAACTTTTTTTTTTTTTTTGATCATTTAATCCTTAAATAGTAAAAAAAAAGCTTACGAATATATCAGCTTGAGATCAGCGGCCACAACCAGAGATGTTTATCGTCATCATTTATCATCCAAGATCATCACAATCATCATCATCTTGGTCGTCGTCTTTTTATGATGATAATTTCAACAATGATTGAACGACATGGTATGAAATGGAAAAAAAAAGTTCAAGAAATTCATTCATGTGCATATATTATTTGGGTGAAGAGAGTAGATTAATTATATGATTATTCCATGTATGTATGTATTTTTTGGGTAATTTTTCATCATCGTCATCTTTATGAATACCATATAAAAAAAATAATAATATTTCAATTCATCATTGTCAAATTCTACATTTCAAATATACATAACTATGTAACAATATTGGAATTATTATTGTATATAAGAGAAAAAATAATTTTGTGGCCAAAATGGATTTGCTCGTCATATCATCATTCATTCGTGATATGATGATTTTGATTGATTGATTAATCGACTCTCTATGATTGTAGTATTTATTTGTGAATGTTTGTGAATGTGTGTCGAATTGAAAAAGAAATTGGAGAAAAAAATGTATTCGAATTTGAATTTGGTCGAATGTGTTGTTGTTGTTGTTGCTGCTGCTGCTGATTCTTCAGATTCACAAATATGAACATAAACTTTATTTTTTTCGTTTGTTTCGATTCGATTCCATTGATGCTGATGATGGTGATGATGATGATAATTTGGTTCCTGTGATTCAATTTAATCAAATTGAATCAGATTCAATTATAATGATGATAATAAAAATAATGGAATAAAATTCTGGTCAACATTGATTCGTATGTGATTGGTGGTGGTGGTGGTGGTGGTCAAGTCAAATCAAAACAAAAAAATAAATTATGTAAATGGGAAATGGGATGTTTTCATTTGAATGTGATTGAATATGCAAATGAATGTTGTATATATACTGGCCAAAAATTGACGTCGAACAAAAAAAAAAAAAATTGAAGACCACATTGAAATGAATGACACATTGTATATGAATGGCAATAACGAGAAAAATATCTAAACAAAAAAAAAAAAAAAAATGTCAAACTCGAACATCATTTTTAAGTGACATTCAATTTTTTTTTCTTTATTGCACTATATTCTTTATTATAAAGACTGGACTCTATCTTGATCCATCATCAATTTGACATTTTGGACCATTTGGACTTTGACGATGAAACATTTTGATATTTCCATTTTCTTTTTGTTTTGTTCATGAAACGATATAATCATCATCATCGACATCATTATAAAGAATGGAGACAAATTGAAAAACGATGGCTACATTTTTTACTGGTCAACAGAAACAAAACGATCATACAATTGAAACGGTGATTCTTTGAAGAGGACCTTTTGATCGATCCAAAATTTTTTTTTTTTTTGCAACAATCAATTCAAAGTGTTCGAAATCGTATCTATACTATAAACAACAACAACAACAAAGAAAAATGAAAAAAAAATATAAAGAAAGTTTTGCCTATTTTTCAATCTAATATCGTTGTTCGAATGTTTTTTATTCAATCAAAAAAAAAAAAAAATTGAAACGAAGAAACATTGAAAAAAAAGAAGAATAAAGTGAACAATTTAAAACAATTGAATTTAATGATGATGATGATGACGACGACGACGACGACCATCACGATTCACGATGCTGATGATGATGATGATGATGATGATGAAGACGACAAGAATGACAAAACGTCTTTTTTTACGAATGTTGTAAAATTTATTTTTTTTTTGAAACAAAACACAAACATAGGAATTCATGGAACAAAACACATAACTTTGATACTGAACCGTTGTTATTTCATTTTTTATATTTATGCTTTTTTTTCACATGCATTTTGATAACACACACACACATACACAAATATTCGCGTGTCAAGAATTTTAAAATTCTATTTTTTTTCAATGTAAAAAAAATCGTAAATGCCCCCACTACTACCACCACCACCACCACTGCGTTTCATAAATGAGCTCAATTTTCTTTGCATCAGAATTGTTTTGTCGTTTTCTTTATAGAATCATTATTATTGCCCATTATTATTGGAAACTTTAGATTCTCTCTTTCTTTCACTCACTGTTTTTTTGATATTGATAAAAATTCGTAAATTCTTTAAGGGTGGCTCGATTCTTAACATTGAATTTGAACACATAAGGCTACTACTACTTATATTCTTCGAACTATTAAACAGCAAAAAAAAATTCAGTTGAATCGGCCATAACCATATAAACTTGGGGGTGTATATAATGTTAGTGGTGGTCTCATTGAAGGTCATTATTATTATTAGCATCATTTTCAACGTTTATGAAGCCAGAGAAAAAAAAACAAAACTGGCTGGCAATTTCTAACGGTGATCCGTGCATGTGATCCAAACACACACTTACACAATGACCATCACTATTGTAATCATCGAAATTTTTTTTTTCCTTTTCATTTCATCTTTGCATTTCAAGTGAAATATAAAACTTTGTTGTTGTTGTTGTTATCGTTGTACACTGTTGTAACAACATGCATATAAGAAATGAAACAAAAACAGAAAAAAAATATTCCAATGGACCTTTGAGACTCCATCATCATCATCATCATCATCATAATCGATGGACCAAACACGTAGGGATTTTTCTCTTGCTTGTTATTGTTTTTTGTTTGCTTGATGTTTTGCTTTCAAAAATGCAATATCCATTTCATTTTTTTTTATTATTGATATCATCATCATCATCATCATCATGAGATGAATATAGAAATGTTTTTCTTTTCTTCATCATTTTTGTTAGTTTTTTTTGAATAAAATGAAATGTTTTATGAAAACAACGATGATGATGATGATGATAGGTTTTTCACGTGTCCATACATTTTGATGAGTGATACAAATTTTTTTTTTATTGTTTCATTTTCGTTTCGGTAACACATTTCATCTTATTTCTTTATTTATCGTTTTTTCCGCTTTTATGGTGCGATGGTTAAAATCGAGCTTTGATACTTTTGTTGTTGTTGTTATCGTTGTTGATGTTGATGTTGATGTTGGGACAATTTTAATAGTTCACGTCGATTGAACGAAATTATCATTATTATTATCGTTTTGAAATAAATGAATCGTTTGTGTGTGTGTGTGTATGTGACGATTTTGATTTTGAATTGTCGTTTCAGAATAATCGTGGAATTGAAGATCAAGATTCATTTTGGCCATTTTCTTTTTTTTCGGGTGTGTTGAATGCGGTGTGTGCGTGTATGTCCATTCCATTAGAGTTAGGTTTTTGTTTTGATAATGTTTTATATGGTTTTAATGTTCCATTATTATTATTATTATTTTTGTTTTACATACACTTTGATTATTTCATTCTTTTAGTTAATGTTTTTATTTTTGTTTGTAATTCACTGGAATGAATATTTTTTTTTTTTGTTTTGTTTTCACGTTTGTATCCACCATTGCACATTTGTTGAAATTAATTCGTGAATTCATCATCATCGTTTCATTCTGGTTTTTTTTTACAACACATAAATAAGTATCTGGTTTTTATTGTTTTACAACCAGTTTTTCATTTCGAGATTGTTGTTGAAATTTTTGTTTTTCATATGATGATGATGATGCCATAGTAAGGATCTTTGGTACTGGTTTTGAATTTAAATATGATAAACAAGCATTGAATTGATAGCCGGTGGAATGGTTCCAAGAGAATGTGTCAACAATTTGAATGAACAAAAAAAAATTTAATGATTGTCATTCTTTATTGTGTTTTTCTTCATTCATCTTGGAATATTGTTTCCATTCAATGAAATATTATCAAGCTTGAATCACGTACGAATTGATTATTATCATCATGATGATGATTTGTATATCAATTGTTAGTAGTTTATATCAGTATGTCAAGTCAACGACATTTCGAATGTGTTTGTGTCAGTGGAAAAAAAACCGATTTAATTTTCATTTATACACACACACACACACAAATGGCACAAATGGTGAAAAATTTTGGTCGATTTTTTTTTCTTACCGATTATTTTAATGTATATTTGCATGAATTCTGCATTCTGGAATAAAAAGAAGTGAAATAATAAGAAAATGAAAACATTGAAACACAAAACACATAACCAAACCTTTAGGAAAAGAAGGATGAAAAAAGAATTTGTTTCAAAACCAAAGAATAAGTGGAAAAATGCAAATCAAGGCAATTAAATGTTCGTTATGTGTGTCTGTCTGTCGTCGTCGAAGTTGTACAAAAAAAAAAAATTCGAAAAACTTTTCATCAATGTCCTGGCATAGAATAACGGAATTCGTTTTAACTGCGGCCGTTGAAACTGTTTTTTTTTCTTGTTTTTGTTTGATGAGAATATTCTTCATCATCATCGTCGTATTGGATAAGGTCGAAATGAGAATAAAGTAAAATTTTCACTCAAAGAAAACAGGCATAACGTGATAAACATTCGTGCTGTTGTCTATAAGTTGAATTTAGTAGTTGTTCCTCGGGAATTTTTTTTTTGTTTCCTAGTTTTTTTTTTATTTTGACTCATCGTTGTTTAGACACGATCGTTGAATGTCGAAATTGATGCATGAAAAAAAAGAGCACCTCATTTCATTTTGCGAATAATAAAGAAAATCTAAACAATTGCTCATTATTTCCAAAATGACGAAAAAGAAAAAGTGAGATTCAAATATTCTTCTTGTTATACAAGATGTACCATGTACTTGACGACAAGAACTCTTGTTTATTTGGTTGTTGTTGTTGTTGGTAATAATAAAAACGTCGATCCACAAAAGTCCGTTGGGTCTTTACGTTTTCAGTTTTTATTTTTCAAGAACAATCCTGGTCCACATTTTCATTTAACTGTTATATCGTCGACGACGACGACGACGACGATTATGATGACGATATTATTTCTTATGATGATTATTATATTCATCCAGCAGGTTGGCCAAAAAAACAACTGAATCAGCAGCATTTACAAAAGTTCCAAATTACCACCGAAAACAAAAAATAAAGACTGTGTTTCAAACTTTTTTTTCATAACAACGAAAACAACAACAATCGTAAACAAATGAACAGAAAAAAAATATTAAATCGAGACAAAATTTTGACATAGTTC